CGATACTGTCTGATCGCTTCTCCGGGATGCTGCTGATCGCTGAGATACTTCTGATGATCGACCATTACACGAAGCATGTCCGTGTGCTGCGCGATGTATGCCATGTCTTCCATGTGTTTTCTGTTCCGACGAATTGCTGTGGTTGCTGTCCGTTGCAAAGACGATACTGACACGACTGCGTTTTCCGCACTCTGAAGTGCTGATCCTCCTGCATGCACTATAGCTGCAAATTCTGTTGATCTTCCTGCCTGATATATGGCTAGACTTTCTACTGATTTTCCTGCTTGTTCTATGGCTGGAAATCCAGTTGACACTCGTGTCTGATCTATGCCTGGAAGTGACAGGCTCCCGGTGTCCATGCTCCATGGTGGCAGAATTTGCAGATCAGTAACGATTGCGTTTACACTCAAGTCGGCCAAAGAGTTCGCCGACTGTCTACTGTTGGTAATCTGCATTGGCACAGTCACCTGCCGGGCTTCCGTTACATCAAATATGTCAGGAAAGGGAGCGACATGGTGGTTTTTGGTATCCAAACATCCAATACCAACGATGAAATCACGCGCTATCAAGTTGGTCCTTTTATGTTTCTATCTATCTATAGTTAGCTAAAAAGTAACACCACATTCATAGACTGTTGGGCGGTGCGAAGTTCGCCGGGTCAGCTAGTAATTAAAATAAAAACAACTAAAAACAATCCCAGAAATTGCTGATATATGTGTATAAATATGTACAATCTAATTTTCAAGTAAATTACATTATTGATCATAACAATTATTTTTATACCCGGTACTCGAAGAGTAAATAGGGTATATTGTATTGGTGCGAATAACCGTTGTACGTAACGCACAGAAGGAAACGTTTCCAACCCCATAAAGTATATATATTCTTGATCAGCACCAATAGCCGAGTCTATAACTATAGTCATAACTATAACTATAGTATATGTCTTTTTGTTCGTCCGGCGGTTTTGTTAGTTGGCTAGTTTTCAGAGACTATAAGCCACCAAATTTTGCATCGAGGCTGCTGTATGCTCACACTGTTACAAGTGTATTTCAAAAATGAAAATGGTGAAAACCTCTTTAATCTACAATTTTGAAGATAAAAGAAAACCAAAAACGCCATTCCGTAGGGAGTGACCATATCTATCAGATCACCAAATTGGGATCCGATTGGATCATTATTATAGCCACAATGAAGAAATTAATTTCCAGTGGCTAACCCACCCCGTTCCACAGCTTTTGTTGTTTTTTTCACATTCTCTCATTCAAAATCTGCTTCTGCATTGTGCGGCCTCTGCCTCTGACGTCCCTCTCCCTTTGCCGTGGCTAAACCCACCCCGTCCCGCAGCTTATATTTGTTTTTTGCACATTCTCTCATTCACACTCTGCTTCGCGCAGTGTGAGGCCGCTGCCTCCACCGTGAGTCTGCAGTGTATGGCTCTAGGAAAGGGGGGCGAGCTAAACGAGCGTGTTGGCGTGAGAAGTGTTGTAGATGTAGATGACAGATGAAGAAAAAATTTAAAATTTGACAAAACACCGCTTAGGTGCAGATGTAGTACTGAGTGCCGGGTATAAAAGTTGTGACGCGTAAAAAGCGTCTCACACGTCCCTTCTCGTTCTATTTGAATATGTGAGCTGTTTCGGTTTATATTTATTTTATATATAGACAAATATTATATAATAATATGTTTGATTATATTTTTATAGTTCTATTAAATGGAATTTAAATATCTACTTAGGCCCAATCCTGGTCTTCTTCGACGGCACAAACGTCCTTGAGGGCATTGCCCTGTTTTTGGAGAGTGGGAAATGGAATCATCATTAGTAAATATTGTTATCAATTCTTGTTCAAAGCTATTTAAAATCTACTTACACTGCCACGAACATCGTAGCCCCCAAACTGAGAGGCACCACCACCGCCATAGCCTCTGTCCAGGGCGCGCAGAAAATCGGGCACTTGCTGCTCAGAACCCTCCAGAATTTTAACTAAATCGGTGGCAATGGCCGAGTCATGCTCTACGTCGAAGAAGGACGTGGCGCGACCATTATTACCAACCCGGCCTGTGCGTCCAATACGATGAACATAGTCATCAATGACCCTGGGCATGTCGTAATTCACGACATGCTTCACGTTCTTAATATCTAGTTGATGGGACAGGAAAATGCACTTCATAAAACTGAATGTTCATATTGTTAATATGTTACCTAGACCGCGAGACGCAACCGATGTGGCAATGAGAATCTTCATCCTGCCACTCTTAAAGTCACGTAGAGCCTGCTCCCGCTGACTTTGGAGTCGGTCTCCATGTATCGAAGTTGTGGGAATCTCGGTTTCCGACAAATACGAGGCTAGAAAATCGGCGCCACGTTTGGTCTCAACAAAGACAATAGTGCCATCGGCACTCTCTTTCAACATTTCCTATCAAAATGAGTCAGGTTTAATAGATTCTATGAGGTTCTAGGGTAAGGTTCTAAGGTAAGTGCTTACCATTAACTTTGAGCGCTTATTGAATTTTGTGGCCTCATAGATCGTCTGCTTGACATCGGAACAAGCGCCGCCTACAACGCCAATAGTCACAAATACGTAGTTATTGAGAAATTCGCCAGCCATTCGCTGTATCTCCTCCGGGAAGGTGGCCGAAAACATCAAGGTCTGATGCTCGGCGCGCATCGTACAGTGATTGACGATCTTGCGCATACTTTCCGAGAAGCCCATGTCCAGCATACGATCAGCTTCGTCCATGACAAGGAAGCGCGTATCGTCGAAAGTGATGAACGCACGTTCCACAAAATCGAGCAGACGCCCTGGGGTGCCAATCAGCACATGGCATCCCATCATAATCGACTCGTTCTGGTACTTGACCGAGGTGCCGCCATACAAAATGCTAATCTTCAAATACGACTCGTAGCTAAACTTCCTGGCCTCGTGATAGATTTGAATGGCCAACTCTCTAGTGGGCGACACGATCACAGCCTGTGGCTTACCAATCTCCAGATCTGTGGCATCGTCCAATAGTTTGGTAAGTATTGGCAAGAGGAAGGAGGCGGTCTTGCCAGAACCAGTCTGGGCACAGGCCATTAGGTCACGGCCAGCAGTAATCACCGGTATGGCAACCTTTTGAATGGGCGTGGCCAACTTATAGCCAGATTTTGTCACATTTGCCGCAATTATGTCCCGCAACTTTGCATCCTCAAACTTTTGAAAGGCAGCTGGTGGGTCAATTCCGCTTACCTATGCACAAAATATCAATTTCATTTAGTATTTTCTTTAACTCTTGCTTGTAAGTGGCGAGAAACTTACCTTCACCGGAATATGATCATATTTCGAAAAGTTGATTCCCGAAGAGATGGTGGTGCCGAAAATCTCAGCTTCATCGGTGGATGGCTCCGGAGGGATGTAGAACTCGCGCTTCTTCTCGCCATCTTCGCCGTCTTCATCGCCCTTGTTGTTATTTAGGTCATCCTCATCATCGTTGTTGCGACGACGACGTTCCTTACGTTCACTGCGATATCCACGGTCACCACGATCGCCAAGTTCGCCAAGGTAGGGATTAAAGCAACCACGACGTCCTTCGCCTGAATTATAAATGCATTTTATTAAAAATTCAATTAAAAAATAAAAATTAAAAAATTATTAAAAAATGCAAATAAATATTAAAATAAAGTACAGAAGGGATTTAAATATGCAAATAAAATACAACAGAGAACTAAATTCCACAAAAAAAAATCGCTTCGTACGCTTCAAAACTTTTATGCCCAGTACTGTCAGTATATCTGTGTTTTAGAGGTTTGTGTCGAATTTTACACTTTTCCTAAATATGAAATCTACATCTACGGCTCCCAGTGACGCACACTGCGTGAGCCACAAAAAACAAGAACAAAAAAGCTGCTGGACAGGATGGGTGCCACTGAATATGAATTTAATTAATCTAATCCCAATTCAATGATCAGTTAGATAGATGTAGTCATTCCCAACGGAATTCTGTTTTTTGTTTTCTCTTATCTTCAAAGTTGTGGATACAGCAGATTATCGCCCTTTGTGGAGGCGGAAGGTTGTGTCAGTGTCAGTACTTTTGTGTCAGTGTGATATACATAACAGCCGTCTGTAGGAAAATTCGGTGGCTCTAGCTTTTATAGTCTCTGAGAGGTAGCCGACATACAAGACGGACAGACAAACATATTTACTCTTCGAGTAATCTATATCTATATTCAATAAACATCATTCTTGGTGGTATAATACTACGGTATAAACCTCAAACACACAATTGTATAACTATTAATAAAAGAATTTTCTGTTCAATATTGGAAGACTGTTATTCAACTTTGGAGATACACATATAGAATAAAATCGATAGACTTGCTTTTTTAGTTTCCTTCTTTATCCCTCTCGCCCCATTTCAAAGCAACCAACAGAATCTCCCCTTATCGCTTAGTTTCACAATGCCGGTCGCCTGCAAGTCCAGAAGAAAGCGAAAGGTTCTCGCCGCATCCATGCGGTTCTTGATGAACGGAGCATTCTGCAAATCCACCCGTGGCCACGTGATGAGTGCCTCAAACAGACCATGGACTAGCTCCACCTTTGATATTGGCATGTCCAATATTATATGTGGATCGTAGGTCTCCACAGCGGCAAGGGAGCGATACTGTCTGATCGCTTCTCCGGGATGCTGCTGATCGCTGAGATACTTCTGATGATCGACCATTACACGAAGCATGTCCGTGTGCTGCGCGATGTATGCCATGTCTTCCATGTGTTTTCTGTTCCGACGAATTGCTGTGGTTGCTGTCCGTTGCAAAGACGATACTGACACGACTGCGTTTTCCGCACTCTGAAGTGCTGATCCTCCTGCATGCACTATAGCTGCAAATTCTGTTGATCTTCCTGCCTGATATATGGCTAGACTTTCTACTGATTTTCCTGCTTGTTCTATGGCTGGAAATCCAGTTGACACTCGTGTCTGATCTATGCCTGGAAGTGACAGGCTCCCGGTGTCCATGCTCCATGGTGGCAGAATTTGCAGATCAGTAACGATTGCGTTTACACTCAAGTCGGCCAAAGAGTTCGCCGACTGTCTACTGTTGGTAATCTGCATTGGCACAGCCACCTGCCGGGCTTCCGTTACATCATGCATTGGTCAGGCTGTTCAAGACTGCTTTAGAGCGCATGCCAAGTGATTGCAATTCGGTCAAGTCAATTAAATACATTTGCAAATATGTCAGGAAAGGGAGCGACATGGCGGTTTTTGGTATCCAAACATCCAATACCAACGATGAAATCACGCGCTATCAAGTTGGTCCTTTTATGTTTCTATCTATCTATAGTTAGCTAAAAAGTAACACCACATTCATAGACTGTTGGGCGGTGCGAAGTTCGCCGGGTCAGCTAGTAATTAAAATAAAAACAACTAAAAACAATCCCAGAAATTGCTGATATATGTGTATAAATATGTACAATCTAATTTTCAAGTAAATTACATTATTGATCATAACAATTATTTTTATACCCGGTACTCGAAGAGTAAATAGGGTATATTGTATTTGTGCACAAAGTTAATGTATGTAACACACAGAAGGAATCGTTTCCGACCCCATAANATTCTGCAAATCCACCCGTGGCCACGTGATGAGTGCCTCAAACAGACCATGGACTAGCTCCACCTTTGATATTGGCATGTCCAATATTATATGTGGATCGTAGGTCTCCACAGCGGCAAGGGAGCGATACTGTCTGATCGCTTCTCCGGGATGCTGCTGATCGCTGAGATAGTTCTGATGATCGACCATTACACGAAGCATGTCCGTGTGCTGCGCTATGTATGCCATGTCTTCCATGTGTTTTCTGTTCCGACGAATTGCGGTGGTTGCTGTCCGTTGCAAAGACGATACTGACACGACTGCGTTTTCCGCACTCTGAACTGCTGATCCTCCTGCATGCACTATAGCTGCAAATTCTGTTGATCTTCCTGCCTGATATATGGCTAGACTTTCTACTGATTTTCCTGCTTGTTCTATGGCTGGAAATCCAGTTGACACTCGTGTCTGATCTATGCCTGGAAGTGACAGGCTCCCGGTGTCCATGCTCCATGGTGGCAGAATTTGCAGATCAGTAACGATTGCGTTTACACTCAAGTCGGCCAAAGAGTTCGCCGACTGTCTACTGTTGGTAATCTGCATTGGCACAGCCACCTGCCGGGCTTCCGTTACATCATGCATTGGTCAGGCTGTTCAAGACTGCTTTAGAGCGCATGCCAAGTGATTGCAATTCGGTCAAGTCAATTAAATACATTTGCAAATATGTCAGGAAAGGGAGCGACATGGCGGTTTTTGGTATCCAAACATCCAATACCAACGATGAAATCACGCGCTATCAAGTTGGTCCTTTTTTGTTTCTATCTATATAAACATATTATTTTGTATCATTGTTTTACGTTCATCAAAGCCTAAATTAGTTAGCTAAAAAGTAACACCACATTCATAGACTGTTGGGCGGTGCGAAGTTCGCCGGGTCAGCTAGTAATTAAAATAAAAACAACTAAAAACAATCCCAGAAATTGCTGATATATGTGTATAAATATGTACAATCTAATTTTCAAGTAAATTACATTATTGATCATAACAATTATTTTTATACCCGGTACTCGAAGA